CTGGTGCACAGCTGAAGCCACACGCCCTGGCCACCAGCGGCCCTCTGTGGCATCCTCACCCCATCAGCCTCCGGCCCCGTGGACGTGAAGATGTGGGAGGGTGAAGAATAAAGCAGTGACGGCCCACAGACCCACCACCTGCCTGAGAAGACTGCCCTGTGGGCCACGCTCCCTCCATCAGCCACCTGGAGGGAACCTGCAGTGGGGGAGGGGGTGCACGTGCACGGGCGTTTGACAGGCTGTGATCACCACGCATGTAGCCTGGGCAGCAGCACCCCGCAGGAATATGGCACGAGGGTCTGTGGCTGGGCAGGCCCAGTGCCCTTTGTCTGCCTCAGTGGTCAGAGAGCAGGGATCCCCTCTGGGCTAGGTGCCCAAGGTTTAACTGCATGTTTACTCACCCCTTACTTGCTTTAGAAAAGGAGGTTAGAGCACCTGACAGAATGTCTGGAATTTGGAAAGATGAGAAACGCCCAGAGAGCAAGTCTGACCAGGACTGGGGTAGGGAGTTCTCCTCAGGCGCCAGAGGAGGACCTCACGTCTGCTGAATCCCCACGGCGCCTCACAGTGAGGAAAGCCGCCTGAGCAGGGATAACCATCACGATCGCCACACACAGCCCAATGAGACGGGCAGGAAGAGCCCCCCAGTCCTGGAGGACAGGACCCTGCGTGTCACTCAGGACCCCTGCAGCAGAGTCCCCTGACACAGTGCAGAACGTCAGGTGGTGCTCCATGATCACGGAGTGGCTCGGACTCTGGGCTCTGCAGGGTGTTGCCAGGACCCTGGGAGCAGAGCAGACAAGCATGAACCCCGTCCTTGGGCTGCTGCCCCCCCCCACCTGCCACAACGTCTGGAGACTCTAGGATGGCCTGACTCTCGCACCTGAGATGGGGAGCTTGGGATGGATCAAGTCAGGCCTGTGGCCACACACTGGCCTGTGACAGATCGAGATGACTTTGCACAGTGTGCGGAGTGGAGGGGTGTTCAGCACTGAGCCAGTGTGAATCTGAGCACGGCCCCACCCGCTCCCTCCTCCCCCATCCCTACACCAGCGGAGTGGTGGCGCAGAGGGACCGGGGTTTTCCCTGGGAGCTGGTCTGATGTGAGGCGCCAGGTGCTGGGGGCCCCCAAGCAGATTAGCCCGGCGTGCTGCTCCTGTCATCCTGCGGCTCGTGCACACGGACCAGGTGAGAAGTGGGTCAGCAACTCAGTCTCCCTCACGAGAACCTTCCACACTGTTTCCCTCGCTTGGGGCAAATACTGACACCCAGAGGTTACAGCTCAGCTGCCACGGATGCGTTACCAATGGTGAGGACGTTGTAGAAGTCATACAAGAAGCTTGTCAAATCATGGGAGGGACCACAGGCGGGTGGCCAGGTGGGAAGGGGGGTCTGGAGACAAGCACATCCCCACCCTGTGTGCCCTCCTGGCCTTGGCAGGGATCAGAGGGTATGGGTGCCCAGGGAGGGCCCCTGCTTGACGTTGAGGCCCGGGCTGGGGGTGCTCTGTGGGTCAGGGCAGCGCAGAGCCCACACTAGAGCCTCAGGGTCGATGGCTTGCATGACTCCTCAGGACAGTCCCAGGACCCAGCAAGTCCCCTGGGACCCAAGGTCAGCTGTGCTGAGTTTTGAGTTTGTGGAAAAGTTTGAAAGCCCTGCTTGCCAGACACAGCCCGTCCCCGACAGAAGACCCCTCAGGCTACACGGCAAGGGGCTCTGAGTGGATAGACTGGGGTTGCCTCCCCCCAGGGACTGTGGCCGAGCACGTGTCTCCTGCAGCCTCCATCTCTTTGTCTGTGGAATTGGACGCCACCCCTACCCTGGCTCCCTCGTGGGTCAGGGCTCCAAACACGTGGCAGGTGGGGACATTCCCACCCCGAGCACAGAGCTCACCTGTGCTGCTTGAGGACTTTGTGGACACCCTCTGAGAGCAGTTAGCAAAAGCCCTGCCAAAGCCTCACCTTCTCGAAAGGATGAGCTCTGTCTCCTGCTCATCTGTGAGTTAGACTCTCATCAACAGCTTCAAAGAGTCAGCTCGGGGAGACCTCTGCCTGTCAGCTGCTGTGACCGCGTCAATGACACGTTTGGTGACAAATGTCTCACTGTGAACCTTCCCACCCGCACACTCAAACCTGACCCCGCGGTCAAAGTCCACTTCCCACCTTCCAGAGCAGCCAACAGACCCAGCTGCCAGCGACCAGCCAGGGCCAGGACAAGACCGCAAGGGGCTCTGCTCTCGAGAGCTGCTGCCCTGAGCCCCTTTGCCGCCCCCGTGGCTGGTCTCCTCCCGGAAGTTCTGCCTCGATGACCCTGACAACTGTGGAGTGAAGTCGGAACTCAGCCACGTGTTTTTAAGCTTCTTGTTTATTTTACTAATGAGGTGTATTTCCAAGAAAAGTGGATCGTCCTCAATCTGGTTAGTGTGTCTGCCCTTTCCCTGTGTGTGGAGGCAGAGAAAAGCCCAACACCCGCACGGGAAGAATTCCGTCCTAAAGGAGCCGGGGCAGGTTTGGGCGCCGCCGGGAGGGTGGACGCAGAGCTCAGGGCTCGCCTGGGTTGCTGGTCACCAAACACACGCCCCACGTCCACCTTGTGCTGTCAGAGTTTGTGGGCCCTGACCACCCTAAAGGAGACATAAAAATAAGCAGACTTACGTTTGACGGTGCCTCGAGCCTCCTGGAAGCCTGCCACCTCAGAGCCCCAGCCCAGAGCTTCACAGTCCCGAGCGTCCGCCTGCCCTGGCCGGGCCCCAGGGCTTGGCCCTCCCCGGGCCCTGTCCACCAGCCAGCAGGACTTCCACAGCCCCACACTCCGCTTGCGCCCGTCCTCCAGCGTCTGGTACACCCAGTTGGGGGTGAAGGCCGCCACGTTGTTGAGGACAAGAGAGACCAGGGCCACCAGCACTGCCGTGGCCACCAGTTTCTGGACAGTCATCTCTGACTGCCGGTGCTGTCCGCTTGTCGTGGAGAAAGTCCCAGTCCCGGTCAGCTGCTGTGGCCAGGGAGAGCCAAGACCAGCTAGGGGCTGCTAGAGGACATCACCACTCATTCTCAGTGGCATCGGGAAGGCCCATGTGACAGGTGCAGGTGAGCTCACCTCAGGCCCTCCCTACCCTCCCTCCTGCACCTGGAGCAGGGCCAGGCCTGAGCTGCAGCCAGCCTCTCGGCCCATCCCGGGGAGGAAGCCGGGGCACCAGCGAGAGTCCAGAGTCGTGCGTGCGCCGTCTTCCTGGGAAGCAAGGCCTCTCCTTCCCACAAGAAACAGGAGAGGTGGGCGGCAACGTGGGGGTCTGTCTCGCCTCACTGCTTAGAACCAGCGCCACAGAGCAAAACCAACCGCCAGGCTCTGAGCAGGGCCGGGGGGAGCTGTGCCGGGAGCAGTTCAGCCTCTCACTGCGGGAGCCCCTGCCCTGTGCCTCTGCCACGAAACAGCCGGTCCTGGAAAGCAGCGAGCCTGCTGCAGGGAGGTGCATGTGCGTGTGTGTCTGTGTGTGCGCGCGTGTGCGGCCCCCCCTCCGCAGAGAGGAAATGGTTGTTTTTGAGGCTGTTTTTTGTGAGCTGGATGGAGGGCGTAGCCAACTGCAACAAATAGCGGCCAAGCCACGGCAGCCAGACGCTAACAGGATGTGTTTCCTGATAGGAAAGCAGGGAGGCCTTCTCAAGTCCTGCTCCAGGACCCTCCTCCCCTGCCCTCCCCACCTTCCTTTCCCAAGGGCAAGGCCCGGGGTGCCAGCCCACAGCAGACCCGTGGTCGCACCTGTGTGTCTTGGACCCCACTAGCCTGGTGCTCAGGTACCACAGAGCAGCTCCAGAGGCAGATAGTGGCCACAGAGCATGTTCCTGCCCTGGGCCCGGGGCCTGGGTTGGCAGGATGCTGGTGGCTGGTCACTCACAGCCGTCCGCTGGTTCCCCCAGCATGTAGGTGCCCCGGGGCCTGCCCTTGTCACGGGTTCACAGGCAGTAGACAAAGTGGCCGGGCCTGGTGGAGAGGCCCCCACTTGCCACCCAGGTGGGTTGGGTCAGGGGCCCACACCCGCAGAACCACCAGGCTGGAGCATCATCCTGGATGGAGGTGCAAGAAGGTGGGGTCCTGGACACGCAGTACAGGTCCCCCAGCGAGGCCTGAGGGCAGAGGGAATGTGGTCTGTGGCCCGGCGTGTGTTTGTGCTGACTGTGCGTCCCAATGAGGGAGCGCAATCCCTTCTGCACGTGCAGACACACGAGAGAGGTGGGGCTGCCCCCCCTGAGATGCCACGCCCATCTGGGGCCCTGAAGTGGCTATGCACAGAGAGAAAGGCACCTGCACACTCTGTTACTAGCACGCGCACCCTGGATGTTGTACAGTCAGACCCCTCAGGCCCCGAGCTGCCCACTCATCGCCAGGCGCCCTCGTTACAGGGGAGGAGGCTGGGGTTGGGGGTACAGGGAGGCCACACACCTGCCCGGAACACAGAGGTAGTGAGATGAGTCCAGCATGGTGGGACTGGCCTGGTCCCCTCGGCTTGCCTGCACCCCACTCGCCTCCTGCTTCTGGAGCTACAGAGAGTTCCTGTGAGTCTGGAGCCCCAGCCCCCGTCATTTTGTGGGTTTTCTTTTTTGTTTTGGGGGCTTTTTTTTTTTTTTTTAGTTTTACAATCCATTTAATTGCAGTTGGTAATCAAATTAGCAATGGTTATCTTCAAAAAGTCACTAACACTTGCTGTGTTGTCATTTCTTAAGGATGATCAGATATCTAGAGTCATAGACGTTTCCCACATAAGATGCATCAGAGGGGTGTCTGGGCGGCTCAGTGGGTTGAGCGTCCAGCTCTTGGTTTCTGCTCAAGCTGTGATCGTGGGGTCATGGGATCAAGCCCCGCGTTGGGCTCTGTGCTCAGTGCAGAGTCAGCTTGAGATTCTTAATGCCACCTCCCCCTCTGCCCCTCCCCCTGCTTGCGCATGTACACATGCTGTTTCTCTCAAATAAAAAAAAAAAAAAGATGCATCATATAAGTCAGACATGGTCTATCACCAGCATTGATAAAACCAGACCGAGGGAAAGAACTAGGTCTGGGGATACAGGCACGGTGCTTAACATAGCAAATGTTTAGCCTATCCTGATTATTACAAAATCAGAACAGCAAGAATATTCACCAGCCCCGTTACTTTGGATCACATGTCTGTAGGGGGCTCTGTACCTGCTGCAGGCAAGGCACGCCACCACCCCCCACCACCACCAAGCCTATGTCCCTGAAAGACAGGGGTCTTTGGAGAATTATCTGCCCTTCCGTTCCCTGAGGGATTTGGCCTATTTCAGCATTTTTCCCCAGCAGAGTTTGTAGCAAATGCATCAGCTGAGTTCTTGCTAGTGCCTTCTCTCCTTGGCCTATGTTCTGTTCCAGCCTCCTGGGGGCTCCAGGGGGGCACCCATAGCCCTCCACACATGGCCCCCTTCTCCCAGGAGAACTAGGACCACTCAGAGTCCCTAAGGACACAGTGCAGTGGGTCACCTCCACAAGGAGGCTCAACGCTCCGCTTGGAAGGATCAGCTTCCCCCCTTATTTATTTAAATCATTTATCCCTGGGTGGCCTTTGATGGCTGCTGGGTCAGCTCTATCCAGCTCCCCTACAGGTGATGTCTGGAGACCCTGCTCCATCCACTACCCCCAGATTCTAGCTGGGGGCCACAGGCCTGGGCACAGAATATGAGTTAGGAGTGACCCTGCCCACACAGGACTGTGGGGCCCACTCCAGACACCCAAACCTCCCCAGGGCCCTTCCCATCCTCCTGAGGTGTGTGTGCTGGGCCCTGGGGGGTGGGGAGGGAGTAGCTGCAGTGTCCTGTGTGCCTGTCCTGTCCGTGCACATGACGGCCGGGTGGGCGGGAGCTTTGTCTCGTAGCAGAGAAGCTCGGGCTGCTTTGTGGGCTGGGAGGCCATGAACCCTACAAGCCTGAGTGGCAAGCCTGAGAAGAGGGGCCTGTGGGCTGGTTCCGGCAGCTCTCAAGAGAGGGCTTTCCAGAAAGGGGGGGCTGTCTTCAGGCCAGGCCCCTGGGCAGCATGTGCCCTGCCCTCACGGTGATGAGGTGCAGATGTGAGTAGGGCGGGTGGGGACAACAGGAAGCGCTGGAGCTCTGGTGGGCTGGCCCCTGTCCAAAACCCAGAACTTCACGTCCTGCGTTGAGGCCCTTCCCAGCCGGTGGGTCTCTGGCTGCTCTTCCAATACTCACTTCCCACCCCCCACCAGCTTGGTGGAGGCCACTGGTGGCCCTGCTCAGAGGGCGGCGTGGGAGTAGCCCGGCCTTCAGCAACCCGTCCCGCTCGTGCACACAGCAGGCCCAACAGCGTTAGCCCAGGGAGGCACAGGGAAACCGAATCAGGGAAGGGCTCTGGGACGGCCACCAGTTTCTCTGCTTGTTTGGGTTTTCCACTTGAATCGTATGCAGATATCAGCCACCTGTTTTCTGGACTCAGCAGAGGGTGGGAAAGGGCATGGAGGCATAAGAGACCTTGTCCACACCCCCACGTGGGTCCCTGAGACCCTGGGGTGTGGAGTATCTTAAAGAGGGTTCCCACGTGGAACCCACTTGGAAAGGGAGAAAGGAAGGGCTTGTGTCTGGTCGGTGCCTTGCTGTGTTGAGCCCCGCGGGGGCCCGTGAGCTTGAGAACAAGGACGGAGTCCTGGGGACATGCAGGATCATCCCCAGGACCCCCAACCTCTATTCAGCCCAGGCCAGGGGCCCACCAGCAGACCCCACACTGGGCATCATGCACTGGTCCTCAGGAGAATCAGGGTTGGGGCTCCCCACCCCCTTCCCCAGGCCCGCTGGGGTGTGAAGGCTCTATAGCCCCTTTTCCCTGCGGGGCCCCTGCCGGAGAGCAGTTCCAGCACCTCCGTGGCTCCACAGAGGGTGCAGGCAGGCATAGAGCAAGGACATTTGACGAGCAGACGGCCACCAAGGCAGGGAGGAATGTGGGTGTGTGGGAGGCCTGAGAGGGTCTGTGGGGACACAGGTGGCCTTCAGCCAAGGGAGGGGTGGGGGCCCTGGTTTGCCATGTTGCTGTGTCTGGTATGCGTCTTGGGGGGTGGCAGGGGTGTGAGGGCTGCAAGCTCACGGAGCTGCCACATCCCCTGGCACAGTGAGGCGGTCTGGGAGAACATGGCGCGCATGTGCGTGAAGACCCAGCGGCTGGACGTCGCCAAGGTGTGCCTGGGAAACATGGGCCATGCGCGTGGAGCACGAGCCCTGCGGGAGGCTGAGCAGGAACCAGAGCTGGAGGCCAGGGTGGCCATGTTGGCCATACAGCTGGGCATGCTGGTGAGTCGGGTGCCGCCCCAGCATGGGCAGGCAGGCAGAGGGAAGGCACTGGCCTCACAAGGTGGGCCATGGCCTATGCGTGTCTGGGCCACTCGGTAGCAGGGAACAGAAACCCCCTCAAAGGGGCTTGAACCAAAAAGCAGAGCAAAGCCTCTCTCCTCTCCAGGGCCCTCCCCGTCTCCTGCACATGCATGAGCTCATGGTCCATCATGCACCTGGGGGGCCAGGCAGGGAGGGGGCAGGCAGACACCCAAGTCAGCTCCTGGTCCACAGGACACTGCGGTGGGTGGGGTCTCCTCCCCAGAATGCAGGGCAGCCCCCCAGCCTTCTCTGCTGACACCTAAGTCAGTCTTGCTTTCTCACTGTGGGACAGAATGCTGCAATGGCATGTGATGTCACTGCGTGCGGGGGCACACGGGCAGCTCTCCTGGAGCCCGAGGGCTGATGCATGCTCTCCCACCTCCAGGAGGATGCCGAGCAGCTGTACAGGAAGTGCAGGCGCTTTGACCTCCTGAACAAGCTGTACCAGGCCTCTGACCAGTGGCAGAAGGCCATGGAGGTCGCGGAGCTCCACGACCGCATCCACCTGCGTACCACCTACTACAACTACGCCAGGCACCTTGAGGCCAGCACTGACCGCGGCCTGGCCCTCAGCTAGTGAGTGTGGGGCCCCATCCGGACTCAGCCGGGATGGGCCCACTTGCCTCCGGCTTCCCCCTCTGCCCCAGTGAGGTGCCCATAGAGTTACCTAGGGGAAGCTTCTAGACTGAGGCACTACCTCAGGGCATGTGGTGGCTTTCCAGGTCTGCAGGGGACCTTGAACTCGGTCTCATCAGGAGAACCTCAGCCCACCTCCCAGCCCGTGCCGGGTCAGGTCTCTGGGCCTGGGGGTCGCTGGCTGTGCCATGGCAGCACCGTGAGCCGCTGGGCGCCGCCGTGCGGTGCTGAGACCGTCGGGAGGAGTCGCTGTTTCCCTTCTCTTGCAGCTACGAAAAGTCAGACACCCACCGTTTCGAGGTGCCCAGGATGCTGTCGGAGGACCTGCACTCCCTGGAGCTCTACATCAATAAGACGAAGGACAAGTAAGTGTTGCTGCTGGATGTCAGGGCCAGTGGGCGGACCGTGGGTTTGCTGCAGGGCCCGGGGGCCTCCCTCCGTTGCTTCCTGTGGGAGAGTGTGAGGCCCTGCCAGGGCGGGGCCTTTCCTCCAGACCCTGGGCCCTCACTCCTGGCCGCGTCACCCAGCTCGCACGCTCCCTCCTGACTGCTGGCCGCGTGAAGGCACGGTGAGGGTGGCGTTAGGGACCCGGGGTCCTTTCCAGGGGGCGCAGGGCCTGAGTGGGACTGGCGGGCTCCTCCCAGGACCCTGTGGAGGTGGTGGGCCCAATACCTGGAGAGCCAGGCAGAGATGGATGCGGCGCTGCGCTACTACGAGCTGGCACAGGACTATTTCTCCCTGGTCCGCATCTACTGCTTCCAGGGAAACATTCAGAAGGTAGGAGCATCTGGGGGGCCTGCCGGGGGTGGGGGGGCAGAGGCAGAGCCCCAGGCCTGCTGCTCTCTTTCCAGGCTGCTGAGATAGCCAACGAGAGTGGAAACTGGGCGGCGTCCTATCACCTGGCCCGCCAGTACGAGAACCAGGAGGAGGTGAGGCAGGCTGTGTATTTCTACTCGCGGGCTCAGGCCTTCAACAACGCCATCCGCCTGTGCAAGGTAGGCAAGGCAGCGGGCACACTGCCTCTGACGGTCAAAGTTGGGCAGGCGGACAAAGGGGCCCTTGCTGTTGCCCACATTCACACAGAAAACGTGGAGAACGGTATGGTGGGTGCCATGTCCCCCACCCTGGAGGCCTTTTTCCACTGCACCTGCTCCCACTGGTCTCAGCCCCCCGGGAGAGTTTGTGAAGTGCTGAATTCTGATTCTCGCTGAGAAGTCCTTTAGCCTTTAGCCACGGCTTTCCAGCAAGCACTCAGGCTGGCTCGTTGCTCGTGGCCTGTAAGCAGCAGGAAGGACGTTCTGCATGCATGAAAGTGTTCCAACCCAGGGCTCAGAGAGCAATGTTCTGTGAACAGAAAAAGAAGGAAGCCCCCCCCCAAAATGCGGGTACACAGACCCCATGTGACAGTCTGACACTGGTTAGAAACCATCGTCATGGGACGCCTGGGTGCCTCAGTCATTAAGCATCTGCCTTCTGCTCAGGGTCCTGGGATCCAGCCCTGCGTCGGGCTCCCTGCTCAGTGGGGACTCTGCTTCTCCCTCTCCCTCTGCTGCTCCCCCTGCTTGTGCTCACTCCCACTCACTCCTTCTCAAATAAATAAATAAAATCTTAAGAAAGGAAGAAAGAAACCATAGTCAGGTGGACCTGCAGCGTGCCAGAGTTGGAGCGGTGGGCTCCCCCAGGGCACCTTTAGCAAACACGCACAGGAAGCCCTGGGCATCCCCCGCCCCCCACAGGAGAATGGCCTGGATGACCAGCTCATGAACGTGGCTCTGCTGAGCTCCCCCGAGGACATGACTGAGGCGGCGCTCTACTACGAGGACAAGGGCGAACACGTGGACAGGGCGGTCATGCTGTACCACAAGGTGAGCGACGGCAAGGACCCCGGGGCCTGTCTCAGTATCTGCCAGGGGGCCACTCGGGCGTTCTCGTGACCTGGGGCTTGGGCGGCTGCTCAGATTTCCCACCATCCACAGGCCGGCCACTTCTCCAAGGCCCTGGAGCTGGCCTTCGCCACCCAGCAGTTCGTGGCCCTGCAGCTCATAGCGGAGGACCTGGACGAGAGGTCGGACCCCGCCCTCCTGGCCCGCTGTTCAGACTTCTTCACTGAGCACAGCCAGT